TAGAAGGGTATTTTTCTGGCCGGAGGTCTGTGACTAGTGGTGTTCCACGGGGATCCATACTAGGGCCGCCGCTGTTTGTGATATATATCAATAACTTGGACAAAAATGTAGATAGGTGGGTTAGTTTGTTTGCAGATGATACAAAGATCGGTGGAGTTGTGGATAGTGTAGAAGGTTGTCAAAGGATACTGCAGGATATGAATTAGTTGCAGATATAGGCAGAGAAATGGCAAATGGAGTTAAATCCATGTGGGTGCGAGGTGCTGCAGTTTGGGAAATCAAATACTAAGGAAAAGTATACAGTTAGTGGCAGGACCCTGAACAGCACTGATGTACAGAGGGATCTTGGGTTCAAGTCCATATCTCCCTGGAAGTGGCCATGCAAGTAGATAGGGTGATAAAGAAGGCATATGGTATGCTTGCCTTTATTGGTCAGGGTACTGAGTTCAAGAGTCAGAATGTCGTGTTGCAGCTTTATAGGTCTTTAGTTAGGCCACACTGAGAGTATTGTGTTTAATTCTGGTTGCTACATTACAGGAAGGATGTGGAGGCTTTGGAGAGGATGCAGAAGAGGTTTTCCAGGATGCTGCCTGGATTAGAGGGTATGAGCTAAAAGGGGAGGCTAGGAAATCTTGGGTTGTTTTCTCTTCAGTGGCGCAGGCTGAGGAGAGATTTGACAGAAGTTTATCAAGAGATACATCGATAGGGTTGACAGTCAGAATCTTTTCCCCCAGATTTGAAATGTCTAAAACTAGGGGGCATGCATTTAAGGTGAGAGGGGGAAAGTTCAAAGGAGATGTGAGGGACAAGTCTTTTTACACAAAGTATTAGGAGTCTGGAATACACTGCCAGGGGGTGCTGGTGGAGGCAGATACAATAGGGGCATTTAAGGGACTTTTAGATAAGCACTTGAATATGCAAGGAATGGGGAATATGGACCAAGGGCAGGCAGAAGGGGTTAGTTTGGCATCATGTTCGGCACAGTACCATGGGCCGGTTCCTCTGCTGTTCTTATCTTTATTCTTTAAGTCTTTATGTCTTAAAGCTTAGAGTTGTGATCACTGTTTCCAAAATGTTCTCCCACTGAAAGGTCAGTCACCTGGCCAGGCTCATTAGCCAATGAAAGGTCCAGTATGGCCCCTCCTCTAGTTGGACTATCCACATACTGTTTCAAGAAATCCTCCTGGATGCACTTAACAAATTCTGCCCCATCTAAGCCTCTTGCTATAAGGGAGTCCCAGTCAATATTGGGGAAGTTAAAGTCACCCACTACGACAACTTTCGAGTATTGAAGTCGGTGAGGTGGTATGTCTCTTCCCCAGTATGTTAGATTGAGGGAGGAGAATGGAGTAACTACCAATCCTTGGGTGTAAGGGGGTAAATGATTCTGTACAGGATTGGTGCTAATAAAGTTTCTCCACACTGTGACTTTATTAGGGGAACAGAGAGGGGTTTCTGCTGTCACAGATGTGACTCCAGTATGGTTCATTGCCTCCCTGGTGCCAGGGTAAGGGATGTCACTTAATGGCTGTAAGGCATACTGAAGGGGGAATGTGATAAGGCGGAGGTCATGATACACATTGGTACCAACAATATAGTTAGAAAAACGGATGAAGTTTTACATCAAGAATTCATGGAGTGAAACAGTAGATTAAAAAGGAGGACCTGTCAGGTTGTAATCTTTGGATTACTCCCAGTGCCACATGCTGGCAAGTATAGAACTAAGAGAACAGATAAGATGAATGTGTGGCTCAAGAGCTGGTGCAGGAAGGATGCTTTTACATTCCTGGATCATTAAGAATATTTTCTGGGGAAGGTGGGACCTGTACAAGCAGGACAGCCGGCACCTGAACTAGAATGGGACGAACAGGAGGGTGCTGTTGGGAGGAGTATAAACTAGTTCACTAGGAACAGAGAACACAATGAGTTAGTACAGTAGGGGCACAGCATCATACAGTAAAGGGACCAAGACCGAGAAGGTTCAGTCATGTGGGTCTCAAAGAAGGTGAGGCTGGATGGCCTTGACTTTAATGTCAGGAATATTAGAGATAAGACAGACGAGTGAAGGGCGTGGATTGAGACATGGAATTGCGATGTTGTTGCCATCACAGAGACGTGGTTGAGGGAAGCGCGGGACCAGTAATTCAACATTTCGGGGTATAGGATCTTCAGAGCAGGAAGGGGAGGATCAGAAAGGAGGTGGTGTTGCATTGTTAGTTCAGGAGTCAATTACTGCACTAAGGAGGGATAACATCCTGGAAAGGTCTTCAAATGAGGCTTTGTGGGTAGAATTTAGAATTAAAAAGGGGACAGTGATTTTGCTGGGAGCGTATTCTAGGTCCCCAAACAAACAGTCAGCAGGCAACTGAGGAGCAGATATGTGGACAACTCATTGAGGTGTATGAAAAAAATACCTGGGTAATTATATAAGAGGATAATATTCCCCAATATTAACTGGGATAATTGTGGTGTGAAGGGTTTGGAGGGGACAGTTTCTTGAAGTGTATTTAGGAGGGCTTTTTTATGTTAGTGTGTAGATGGTCCTGTAAAAGGACAGTACAGTGCTGGATCTAATTCTGGGGAATGAAACCAGACAAGTTTTCAAGGTGACAGTGGGGGAGCATTTTAGTGATTGCGACCACAACATTATGTTTAAGTTTGTTATGGAGAAAGAGAAAAAGATGGTCTATAAAAAAGGGTTTTGGATTGGGGGAAGGCAGTTTTTATTAAAATAACACAGGATTGGGCCCAGACTGGGATCAGCTACCTGAGCGTAAATCTACAGCAGAACAGTGGGAGGCATTTAAAAAACAGGGAGAATATAGGCCCAACATCTTCCCTTTAGGGTGAAATGTAGGATCAATAAGCCCAGAGAACCATGGATATCTAGAAATATTCAGGACTAAATAAAAAGGAAGAAAAGAGATATATAACAGATATAAAGGGAGCAAAACAACAGTGTCCCTGGAGGAATATAGGAAACGCAGGATGGAACTTAAAAGAACAATTAGAAGAGTAAAGTGGTGGTGGGGGCTGGGGTGGTGGGGGGAAGGGGCGATGTGGAGGGTGGGGGTGGAACCATAGAAAATGCTGGCAGGCAAGATTATGTACAACCCCAAGATATTCTACAAACATATCGGGGGGAAGTGGATAACCAGGGAAAGTATAAGGCCTATTAGGGGTCAAGAGGGTCAATCTGTGCTTGAAGCCAGAGGACATTGGTACAGTGTTAAATGAGTACTTCATGAGTACCGAGTTTTTACTCAGGAGAAGATACAAGCACAGAATTTGAGAAGATGGACTGTGAAGGTCCTGACCAGTTTGATATAAGAAGCGAGGCAGAATTGGAGGTTTTGGCAGATTTAAAAACAGAAATTATGGGGGCCCTGATCCAAATTTTCAACTTGTCTCTGGCCACAGAGTTGCCAGAGGACTGTTAATGTGGTTCACTTTACAGCAAGGATAGTAGAGATAGGCCAGGGAATTGTAGACTAGACAGTCTTTCGCCAGTAGTTGGGAAACTATTGGAGAAAATAGCAAAGGAGAAAATTAATCTCTATTTAGAGAGGCAAGGTTTGATCAGGGATAGTCAGCATGGTTTTGTCAGAAGGAGATCAAACAGATTTGTTAGGCATGAACTTTGAGGAGGTGACCAAGTGTTTGGATGAGGGTAGGACAGTTGATGTAGTTTATATGGATTTCAGCAAGGCCTTTGACAAGGTCCCACATAGGAAGACTGATGAACAAAATAAAAGTTCATGGGATCCTGGGTAAATTGGCAAGATGGATCCAAAACTGGTTTAGTGACAGGAGACAGAGGGTGGTGGTAGATGGTTGTTTGTGTAACTGGAACCTGTGTGCAGTGGCATACCACAGGGATCACTGCTGGGACCCTTATTGTTGGTGACATTCATAACGATGGAGAGTGTGGGAGGGATGGTAAGTTTGAGGATGACACAAAGATTGATGGGGTGGTTGACAGTGAGGAGGGAGGTGTTAGGTTACAGGAGGATATAAATGGATTGGTCAGATGGGCAGATCAGTGGCAGGTAGAATCAAAACTGAGAAATGGGAGGTGATGCACTTCGGAAGAAGGAACAAGACAAGGGAGTACTCAATGAATGGCAGGACACTGGGAAGCTCAGAGGAATGGGGGAATTTGGGGTGCTTGTCCACAGATCGCTGCAAGTGGTAGGACAGATTAATAAGCTAGTTAAGAAGACATTCAGGACACTTGCCTTTATCAATCGAAGTACAGATTATAAGAGCGGGAAGGTTATGTTGGAGCTGTGAATAACTTTGGTTAGGCTACAGCTGAAATACTGAATGCAGTTCTGGTCATCACACTATAGAAAGTGTGTGATTGCACTGGAGGGGGTGCAGAGGAGATTCACCAGGATGCTGCCTGGGACAGAACATTTCAGTGATGGAGAGAGGCTGGATAAGCTTGGGATGTTTTCTTTGGAGCAGAGAAGGTTCGGGGCGATCTGATAGAGGTGTATAAGGTTGAGGGGCACGGACAGGGTGAACAGAAAGCAGCTGTTCCCCTTAGTCAAGAGCTCAATAACAAGGGGACACAATTTTAAAGTGTAAATCAGGAGGTTTAAAGGGGATTTGAAGAAAACCTTTCTCACCCAGTGGGTGGTGGGAATCTAGAATGCACTGCATGGGAAGATAGTTGAAGCAAGAAACCTCATAACCTTTACAGAGTACTTCAAGAGAACATGAAGTGTCATAAATTCAAGCCGATGGGTTTAGTGCGGGAAAGTAGAACTAGTGCAGCTAGTAGTATATTTCTGGGTTGAAGGGCCTCCTGCGTACTGAATGATTCTGGAGGACACAAGGGAATGGGACTAAGGGGAGAGCTTGTCAGACAGAGGACACAGGGGAATGGGACTAAGGGGAGAGCTTGTCAGACAGAGGACACAGGGGAATGGGGAATGGGAATGCGAGCTGGTGTCTTTATCAAGTGTTGTTATTGATCTGGGGAGACTGCTCACCTGGAAGGCGATCATGAGGTTCACTGTCTCTCCCACCACTTTCAGCACCTTCTGTCGGAGGTTGCGAGGCAGGCAGATCCTGGGCTGCTCTGCAATAGGGAGGAGAATGTGCTGAAGGTAATACTCAGCTAGGACAGTCATATTAATTATCTCAACACAAATCTGTTCAGGCCAGAATTTTATCCTGGTTGAGTCTGGTTAGTTGATTTAAGACTTTTCCTCTTCATATGAAATTTCTGAGCTAATCTTCCACCGTCACATTCCTGGTGTTTCTCCCTCGTAGTTACTGACTGTTAATCCTTCTCTCATACTTCTGCCATTTCACTACCACCACTCGCAGTTATTCCCCAATATAGTCCAAATATTCCTTTGGCTATTGAAGAACTGATTGCAAACTGGGTTAGGAAGGAACCCTGTACACATTGGAGGGACTCCATTCTCCTAACCTCTAATGACCCATCCACTTTGGGATAATTAAGTCCCCCATAATAATCATCCTATGTTACCCATTGTACACATTTGTTTGCCCATTTCCTCCTCCGCCTCACTGTCTATAGACTAGGGTTTGAATCCAAATCTTTGTGCCTATGCTGTAGGCATGTATATCTGTTGGGGTTTGCGCATATAGTTATGCATGTGTGCACATGCATGTGTCTGTATCTATGTTCTGTGTCTGTGTGAGTATATGTATGATGTGTCAAGGACTGTGTGTGAATGTGTATATGTTTTATGGGAATATGGGTCTATATTAGTTAGTGCATTTGTGTTAGTGCATAGTGCTAGTGGTAGTGCATTTCTGTGTGTGTGTATGCACGTATGTGTCTATGTCTGTGTGCGCGTGTGTGTGTTTTGTATGTGTGTATCTGTGCGCATGCCTGTCTCTGTGTGTGTGTGTGTATGTGTGTGTGTGTTCATGTGTGTCAGTTTCTGTGTGTCTTTTTTGGATTTGTTCATGAGTAAGGGCATTACTGGCTAGTGCCAGCATTTATTGCCCAACCCTAATAACCCAGATGGCAGTTAAAACCATATTGCCGTAGGTCTGGAGTCACATGTAAGCCAGACTAGGTAAGGATGGCAATCTCCTTCCCTAAAGGATGTCAGTGAACCAGATGGGTTTTTCCAACAATCGACAATGGTTTCAAAGTTAGATACTTAATACCAGATTTTTATTGAACCAAAATTCCAACATCTTCCATGGTGGGATTCAAAATCAGGTCATAAGCCTGGTCTCTGGATTAATAGTCCAGCGATAATACCACAAGGCCATTGCCTCCCCATGTTTGTGTATCTGTTTCTGTGTGTGCGTGTTTCTGTGTATGTGTGTTTCTGTGTATGTATATGTGTGTGTTTCTGTGTATGTATATGTGTGTCTTTCTGTGTATGTATAAGTGTATGTTTCTGTGTATGTATATGTGCGTGTTTCTGTGTATGTATATGTGC